GCCAGTCACAATCCTGACTTGGAAATATATCCCTGTTCCTTCAGTGTCGCTGGGTCAAAATCCTGGAATTTCCTCCCTCAGGGCCACTCACAGCAGGTGGGCTGCAATGGCCACCATCACCACCATCTCGAGGGCACCGAGGGATGGGCAATAAATACTAGCCCAGCCAGTGACACCCACATCCTACAAATGAATATTTTTTTTAAAAAAAGCAGCCATTTTATAAATGTTGCACGATATCAAGACTATCTATTGGCTACAATACAATAGCTGGTGATGAGACCAATTTTTGTTCCCAGGTTGGGAGCACAGATGGAGGAGAAACCCCAGCTCCGTGAACCTGACCTGTTTTTAGATAAGGGGCTGCCACACTCGTGATTTTTAGTCTGAGTGCGAGCTGTATTGGAAATTGGGCCAGGTGTTCTGAAGAGCTGAGGAAGCTGCCATTTGACAGAGAAGGTTGTGTGGAACACCTGTCCCAGCACTGTGTCCAAAATTAAAATGATGCATAAAATATTTGACCAGCCATCATTCTTCTTCATTTATGTTCCCCATCCGTACCATGCATTGCCAGCTAGGACCCCCTTACCCATCCTATGGTCCCAATTATGCCCTATGCCATTCTATCTACCCCTTGGAAGCTTACAACCTTGTAGTGCTTGCTTCCACTCACTACCATTTACCCCTTCACCTACAATTCCAACTTGTCTATTATCCACAAGTACCCCTGCATATAGAAGAAAAAATAAAGTTCTGTTACTTAGTGTGTTCTGCAATAAAGAATTTTATTAAGAAATGATGAATGAAAGTGCATAACACATTTTGACGTGTTGACACTTCTCAACAGGTCTTGATAGTTCAACAATTCTTGACAATTCACTTGTTGACAGTTCAATGTTTCTTGGCAGGTGCCAGCTTTCCTTGGCAGTTCTCAACAAGCCTTGCCATGTCTTTTACAGGCTTGACAGTTCTAAGGGATTTATGCAGCTTCAACGCAATATTTAAAAATTCCAAAGAGTTACCTCCCTTCCCACCCCAACCAAACAAAGGAACCTGAGCTTACGTCCAAGTTGTCCTGGGACTGTATCCACAACTTGGTTTGAGTGGAAGAAGCTGATCAATTTAATCACCATCAGTAGCTGTAAACAGTGCATTCTTAACTCATGAACCCAGTGAAAATGGGAATGTCAGGTTTGAGGATGTAAGCTAGGATTTCCAACATTTTCCATCAATTTCCCTAAGGTGGAGAAGTTTATCAATGTGGTGAAAATCTAGGCCTAGTTGTCTCTATTTGACCATGATTTGCTACAATAAATTGATGGAGTACTTTCCGGTTCTGTACTTACCCTAACTTGCATCTATCTTGGATCTGATCCAATCGTGCTGAAGCCACAATGAACTAGAAAGCTGGGCATGCACTCATCTTTATTTTTCCCTCTGTCGTAACACACTTGAAAGGAAGCAAAATTAAAAATGCATCTCTATCTGATGTTGAATGTAGCAGTATTTTTTAAATCTTAATTAAGTGTCCTGCTTACTGTGCCTTTTATTGACTTCTTTTATACTTTACGAACGGAGAGTAAAAAGGAAATGTGTGAAGCATGTCTGCATTTACACTTCTGGGGTGCAGCATAAGAATCATATAACTACAAATTCTATTTGTTTGGTTATATAACAAACCTGCAAATAAATCTCTTTGCATAGTTGCCTTCAATACTGCTGTATAAGTAATGGCAAAGTGGAGGCTTTTGAAATCCTTGGTTTGATTTAACAAGGACTTTTTGTTTCAATGAGGTTTTGTTGGTTTTTTTGGGTTTTTTTTTAACAAAGCAAAATAAAAACCCCAAGAACTGCGGGTGCTATTCTAAAGAAGGGTCATTGGACTTGAAACGTTAACTATGATTTCTCTCCACAGATGCTGCCAGACCGGCTGAGTTTTTCCAGCAATTTCTGTTTTTGTTTTTAACGAAGCAAATTGGTTTTAAAAAGAAAATCACTGATGTCTAGATTCCTCCTTTAGCTTACCTCCTCACTGGGTTGAAAATAATATTTTTGATAAGAAGGGAGATGAAGTTTTTATTTGGAGTATGGTAGGGATCTAGTAGAGACAGAAATTCTCAATTCATTTCAAAGGTGTGAGATGTGCACCTGAAATGCCATAACCTGCAAGGCTACAGACTACAGGTTAGATATTGGCAATAGCCTGGATGGCTTGTTTTCGGCAGATGTATTTGTGATAGGCCATATGGTCTCTTTCTTTGCCATAAATATTTTGATTATACAATGCTTTTAATACAATGGTTTAAAATATTCTAGCTATATTGGGGTCAATTTTAAAGATGAAAGAAGGAAGCGGGTATGACGAGCAAACACCAGCCTTTCCACCAGGTGGGGTTAGTTAAAATCGGAATGGGAACTTCAGTAAACAATACTGAAAGTACAAATGTAAGTGGTACTGTGAATAAGCCTTTGAGATATTTTGCACTGCTTTGATATCATGTCCTTAAGTCGTGTTGACATTATCACCAACCCAGTTTGTTCGCATTTGCAAGGATGTTGCAAATGCAGCATTTATAGTTTGTACAATGTGGCTTTTTGTAATTATAGACAAAAATTAGAGCGAAACTCAGAATTGTGCTTTATTCCATGTTACTGTCTTTGTTCTCCATGTTAACATTTGTTTTGAAAGTAACCATTGTCTCTCTTAGGCATGACCTGGGAGCCTGCTCTGGAAAGCAGAAGGCTATTGTTGTTTGTGCAGGATTTCAGTTAGTGTGTACTAATAGAGTGAGGGTTTTTATTTCTTTAACAAAAGTACTCTTCAGTCAAGTTTCCAGGAAGAAAACATATTCATCTGATATAAAATGGCCCTGTTTGTCAACTGTTGGAGTGTCATTAACTTGGTGCATGTTGAATATTAAAGTGATGTTTGTCACTTTTTATTCTGTTTTCCCATGCTGTTGTTGCTGATGGAATTATAGTGGGTGTGAATATTAGAGTTGTGTGAATGTTACACTGTTACATTCAATGAATAGTTTACTAAATTTGGCTTTTTTCCAACTGTTTCATTTCATTGTGTTTCATGTACATTTGACATAAAATTTTCCAATTCATAACACAGATGATAACTGATTGGAAGCTTTATGTCATTAATACAGTCAAAAAGAAAACTGGACTTTTCAATTTTTCTGGAACTGTTTTGTTTTTGGAGGCTTTCTCCTAAACAGTAAAAGCTCTTTAACAAGGTATCATTCATCTATCTTTATAATCACATCATCTGTATATAATACAGTGTCTATAATAAAAGACTTTCATTTATATAGTGCTTTTCACAATCACTGGACTTCTTGATGTGCTTTACAACCAATGAAATATGTGGTTTAATCACTGTTGCATAATAATATAACTGCTGCATTATCTGCTAGGGTGAGATAGTGCCTTAGTAACAACACCACCGAATTAGTATGCTCTGAGGATGTGGGTTCAAATGCCACCATGGTAGCTCACTGAATTTAAATTTGGAATTGAAAACTTCATAATGTATCATGAAACTAACAGCCCATCTGGATCCTTTTTAGAAGGAAATTTGCCAACCTTAACTGGTTTGCCTAACATTTGACTAGATTCATAGTATATGTTTGACACTTAAATGCCCTCTGAAATGGCCTAGCCGATTACTCAGTTGAGAGAGATTAGGGATGAGTAACAAAAGCTGACTTTGCCAGCGGTGTCCACATCTCTTGAAAGAATAACAAATGTGAAACTTGAATAATTAGCAATCCAGTTTTGATGAAAATTCAGACCTGAAACATAACTCTGCTTCTTTGCAGATATTTTGCTTTTCTGTTCTTAACAACTTTGTAAAATTTTAAGTGTTGATGTTTAAAGAGACTTGGGTGCACTTGTGCGAGGTAACCAGAAAGCTAGAATGTGGGGGCAACAAGCAATTAGAACAGCAAATGGCATGTTGACCATTCGCTTAATCACTCACGATCGAACACTTCGATGTCTTTTACCAATTCCATCCCCATTGCCCTGTTTTCCATTAATAATCACAAATCTCTCTACCTTAAACATTCCAAAGACTGAACTTCCACAGACTCCTGTGGCAGAGAATTCCATAAGTTTACCAACCTGTGAGTAAAACAAAATTCTCCTTATCTCAGACCTAAGTGGTATCCATCTTATTTTTAAATTATGCTCCCTAGTTCTAAACTCCCCAGCCAGGGGAAACATCTTACCTGCATCTACCATGTCTATCTCTTTAAATATTTTATAAGTCACTGTGAGATCATTTCCCATTCTTCAAAACTCCAGAGAATATAGGCCCAGTTTGTCTGATGCCTTTTCATAGAACATGTCAAAAGCCTTCTGAAAATCTAAGTGTATCATATCCATCGGCTCTCCTTAGTAACTGCTTCAAAAAATTCCAACAAGTTTGCCAACCTCTCTTTCCAATTCACAATTGATGCTGACCGTGCTTAATCAGATCACCAACTGTCTAATTGTCACATCCTTTGTAATTTTCCCTAATACTGAAGTAAAGCTAACAATCTGTAGTTTCCTGTTTTTTCCCCTCACTCCCTTCTTAAACAGTGGGTGGGTGACATTGGTGACTCTCCAATCCACAGGAATCATTTCAGAAACTATAGAATTTTGGAAGGTAATAACCATTGCACCAATTATGTCTACAGTCTTCTCCTTCAACACTATCAAATGTAAAGTATCAGGTCCTAGGGATTTAACAGCTTTCAGCTCCATTAATTTCTCCAGTTCTTACTAATACAAAATGTCCTTCAACTGCCTCATTCTTATACTAACAGCAATTTGTGCAGAATGTACGGGTGCTGAAGGGATTGCAGCATCAATTCAATAGGATGATACCTGGATTCAAAGGCTAAAATTATGAGGAGATATTATTATGCAAACTGGGGTTGTATTCCTTCTGATTTAGAAGGCTCAGGGGTGACTTAATTGCAGTTCTCAAAGTAATGCAGGAAACAAATAATGTAAACGGGGACAAATTATTTCCGCTGATTAGGGAGACTTGGATAAGGACCATGATATATTTGAATGACAGAGCAGAATTACGGGAATAAATGTTCTATTCCTGCTTCGGTGTTCCTGTATGTGAATAAAGTCAGAAAGCAAAATCCCTTGGAGATTCTGAGAACTGAAAAATAATCAGGAATTTTAAAAAAAGATGCTGGATACACCACAAGTTGCGCAGCACCTACGGAGACAGGAGAGAGTTAAAGTTTCGGGTCAATGTACTTTCTTCAGAATCGATTCTATGGGAGATGAGTGTTGCATGAGAAAAAAAATCAATCAAGCCTTAAAGGAAAAATAATGGGAAGATACTAAAACAGTGAATGCAAAACAGATACAAAAGACGCTAAAATTAGATATTTGTTTCTTTCAAGAAAACAACAGGCCTAACTGCAAACTGGCATAATTTTATGTTGTTTCTTTAATCATACATATTGTTAGTTCATCAAATGTAAAGCTGAATATTTAAAGACTTTGAATGGGTCTCCTTATAAGGTAATTGTTTCTTTCTCTTGGCTGTTTGACAATAAGCTCAGTGTATAAACTATGGATGTTTGGTGCAGAAATGTTTTAAAAAAAACTACAATTGGTGAATTTGATTTTTAAAATTACCTGAGTTCGATTTACATAATGCTGTAACATCTGTTATTTGTAAGGCGTAACATTTGAATGTGTTTCCTGTTCTATAGACTCTATTGTTTGAAGATCTATGGCTTATCATCTCTTTGGCGATTATTCAGAGGGAAGAAATGGAATGTTCTGAGGCAGCGTGTGGACTCCTGCTCATATGACTTGGATCAGGTGGTGAATTTTTCTGCTATCTAATATTCTTGAATTATTGGGGTACCAGAAAATTGAAGCTTTTTCACTACCACCTGCAAATGTTATATATCTACTAGACTATTTATTGTACAACCAACAATCCCTTTAAAATTTCTTTGTATGCAGCTTATTTCAATGTGCAGCTTCTTTAAGTCTTCTTGCACAGCCATGACATCTTAGAGGATAGGATAGGATCAACTTGCACTGTATCTTCTCTACTGCTGTGCGGTCACCCACACACACACTGCTTAGAGCAGGGCTTCTCAAAGGCTTTCCCTCTGTGACTCCATTTTCAGGGCTTGAAAATTGTCCTGACTCCTCAGAGAGAACTGAGAGTGCGGGAAAACGGCTATACAACTGTTATAACTTAGTCAGAGCTCCATAGTCAACATTGTTGCCTCAGAATTCTCAAACCTAAAACTTGAGCTCATGGCCTCTCTTGACCCCTGAGAACGCACCTTATTTAGGCATTTTAAGGTGTATTCGTTTATGGGAAATGTAGGGTCATAAAGCATTTACAAAAACATAGAAAGAAGTAACTAACACAGAATGTTGGAGAAACTCAGCAGGTCTAGCAGCATCTATGAAGAGAGAAACGGAGTTATCATTTTGAGTCCAATGTGACTCCTCTTCAGAACACCACTCCCTGTATAAACAGCATGCCTTCCAAACACCCCCTCATGTTCCTCCACCAATTTATCCTAAGTTTGTATCCTCTGGTTACCGACCCATCAGCAGCTAGAAACTTTTTTTTAAACGCTAAAAAAATTGCATTGAAACAAATTGCGTAAATTATGACAGATCTCTACAGGGACAAAGAATCTGTTACATGAAGGATTTTTCTACATTTTGAACTTGGTACAGGAGTTGAAGAGAGACCTAGCATATACTGATACAAACCCTGAAAGATGGTGGGGCAAGCTAAAAACATTATTAGGAAACGCACAATGCAATCCTAAACTCTATAAACAGAGGCATAGGTATGAAATTTAAAGTTAGGGACATCAGTTATGAGGAGAAACAAGAGAATCTGGAATGGTTCTATTAAGAAAAGAGAAAATTACAGAATGATTCAATAGAGACACTTAAAATTATTACAAAGTATAAAATATTATAGAGCAAAAATAGGACATTGACCTCTTTATGCAGATCCATGCATGTTGAACATGAGATTCCTTATACCTTACTGTATCCCACTTAGTCACCATATCTTTGTTTCATTAATTTATGGCATGTTAGCATCACTGACTCAGCCAGCATTTATCACTCAATCCTAATTGCCATTTAGATGGTGGTCAATCATCTTCTTAAAGCACTGTAGTCCATGGGGATTAAGTATGCTACAGTTCTGTTTGAGAGAAATTTCCAAGATTTTGACTCAAACAGTGAAGGAGCAACGATAAAATTCTTCAGCCTGGAAAGGGACTTGCAGATGGTGATGTTCCCATTCATCTGCTGCCCTTGCCCTTCTGGGTGGCAGAGGTTATGGGTATGGAAGGAGTCTTGCTGAATTACTGCAATACATCTTGTAAATTACTGCCGTTGGGATTAATGGAGTTGAATGTTTAAGGTATTGGATGGGGCCCTGTCAAGTGGGTTGCTTTTTTCTGGATGGTATTGTGCTAATAAAGGGCATTTGGAGCTGCAGTCCTCCACTCAAATAGAGTATTCCATCACACACTTGGAACTTGTGCCATGCGGATAGTGGATATGCTTTGAGTTGGGAGGTTTTAGTCACTGCAGGATTCTCAGCCTCTGACTAGTTGTTATAGCCACTTTATTTATATGGCTCGTCCTTTGTAGTTTCTGGTCAACGGTAATTGCCCCACCCCTAGCTGTTGATTTGGAATTTAGCAAAAGTAAAGCCATTGAGCACTTTGCAACTACCTGTGAGCATCTCTAATTCAGACCATATGTCAGAGGAGTGATCATTGATGAATTAGTTCAAAGTAGTTGGACCTCAGACATTACTCTGAGGAACTCCAGCAGAAAATCCCATAGCATGAGATGATTGGCCTCCAACAACGATAACCATATTCTCTTCTGTTAGTTATGACTCCAATCAGCAAAATGTTCCTCCCTCATCTTCCCCCTCCACCATCTTCCTCCCCACTGCCCTCTCCATGGATTCTGATTAATTTCAATGTTGCTAAATCAGTCAAATGCTACCTTAATGTCAAAGGCAGTCACGCTTGCTTCCCCTCTGGAATTCAACTCTTCTGTCCAAGTTTGGTCCATGGCTTTAATCAGGTAAAGAACTGAATGAACCTAAACAGAGCATCAATGAGCAGGTTATTGTGAAGCAAGTGCTGCTTTATGGTGCTGTTGAAGATTCCCTTGTGTCATTGCCTATGATTGAAAGTAGAGTGATAGGGCAGCAATTGACTCAGTTGGATTTGTCCTGTTTTTTTACTCCGCCAGTTGTCCATATTGTAGGCTAGATGCCAGTGTTGTAGCTGTAGTGGAAAAGCTTGACGAGGAAATCAGCAAGTTCTGGTGCACAAGAAACAGCACAGCGAGGATATGAGAATGTTCGTTACTTTTGCTGTACCTTTCTCCTTCACTTTCCTAATCTAGTCCACCCTTGAACACATCTATGCTATTCGCCTCAACTATTATATGTCTTAACAAGTTCCACATTCTCTCACTGAGTAAAGTGTTTCTTGAACTCCTAATTGGATTTGTCATAGGATCTTATATTTGTGCCTCTAAGTTCTTGAATCCCCATTAATCTCCCTTCACTAGTCTGCCCTATGGTCCACCTCACATGTCCATCACAGAGCTGATTTTCAATTTGTTTCTTCTTTCTTTTCCCTTTTGAAATAGGGCATAGTTTGTTTCCCAAACCCTGCTCTTAAAGTCTGGTTTAAAAATGGCCTACAAAGATTTATTGTGTTATAACAAAGTAGAGTTTATCATGCATTCAAAAACCATGGATGAAGTGGGTGGGAGGTTTATCGCAACACACACTTGCACATGGGTGTACAAAGAAAGAAAAAGGGGTTACAATTGCTGAAAGAAACATGCATTAATTCATATCATTAAGAGTCCGTTAAGTCAATGTCCCATGAGATTCTAGCAGAAATCCTTTTCATAGGGGTTTAATTGCAGATGAATGCAGTTATTCTTGTAAACCGGGAAATTAGTTATCTTCTTTAGCAAAACACAGGATTCTTTCTGTAAATTAGACTTCAGTTGCAGTTCAGGATCTTTGTCAATGCTTTGGGGCATGATACTTATCAAACCCCTTCATGATTTTAAAGACCTCTATCAGGTTACACTTCAGTCTTCCCTTGAACAAAGGCCCAGCTTGTTCAGTCTTTCCTGATACTTTTGATAAACTGTGCAAATGTTTGTGTGATTTCTGTGGTGGATCTGTGTCCTTTGTGTTCACAGTTTGCTGTCCATATTACAAACAGGATGGCATGATAGCTCCTGCCTCACAGTGCCAGGAACCAGGGTTCGATTCTAACCTCAGGCAACTGTCTGTGTGGAGTTTGCCACATTCTCCCGTGTCTGTGTGGGTTTCCTCTGGGTGCTCCGGTTTCCTCCCACAGTCCAAAGATGTGCTGGTTAAGTGGATTGACCATGCTAAATTGCCCATAGTATCCAGGGATGTGCAGGCCAAGTGGTCTAGCCATGGGAAATGCAGGGTTACAGAAATAGGTAAGGGGGCAATGGATCTCAGTGATATACTGTTTGGAGGATCGGTGTGGACTTGATGGGCACAATGGCCTGTTTCCACACTAGGCATTCTATGATTCTATGAATCCTCCACTTGAACAAAAATTCTAGATTTGTTTACCATAACTTCTCTGCTTTTGAATTCTGTTCTTCAGTAATTCCAGTGTATAATTGTTGCTTTCAAAAAACATGTAGAAATCTATATGCTGGAACCCTTTATGCTTCTGTCCTATTTATATTCCATTTTCCCAGGGGTAGATGGCCTATGTACAAATATAGCACAGGACTGCACCAGTCAGCCTCCATCCTCCTCCACCATCCACTTCTGATTATGGCTTCAACTCCACATTCTTACCTACCCCCAATAACCTTTGACTCTCTTGTTAGTCAATTATCACCACTGCCTTCAAAATAGTTAATTGCATCTTCCTTCCACTATTAAAATTGACTACCTCATACTTACCCATATTGAAACATTCTGTGACTTTGTCAACATGTTCTTGTATTCTGTCTCAATCATCCTCAATTGTAATTATACTCCTCAACGTGTAGCCCTCTGCAGATTTCAATGTAATGCTTTCAACTCCCAAGGCTGCTTTTAAGGCTTCGTGACAGCTTATCTATTTTGCATCCATTGCATTACCTTGGCCTGGTTTTCCCCATAGTTCAAAGAAATTTTAATGGTTGATCAAACATGACCTTCCCTTTTGAAATTCATATTGACAGTTCTTTAATTTTTTTCAGTTTTCTGAATGATTGCCTGTTACATTTTTGAGTAAAGATTCCAGTATCTTCCCTGCCAACATATTAAACTGATTTGTAGTTCAATGGCTCTGTTCCATTTATCTTTTTAAATGTCCCCTTGTGTCTTGTTTTTCTTGGGCTCATTTGTTTGTATGATTTTACTGAATTATATCTCCTCTTTAGTTTATTTTAAATTCATTCACAGCTGGAAAAATAATTTACTGCACCCTTTGGACATTTGTGAATATCCAAACAAAGTACAAAGACTATCCATAATAATCAGCAGTGGATTTTCATTGATTTTCAAATTAGCAGTAATTTTATCATGAGTCGTAACTGCAAGAGTATGGCAGGCTTACCAGAAAGAGGCCAAAACACACACATGTAATTTAACTAATGTCAGTACAGGAAAATTGTAATCTGACATCTTTGTTCCATAGTTATCCCATTCAGATGATTAATTATCTGTTGTCTTTGGCATAAAGTTTATTATAAACAGCTTAAATTTGGAATCTGTAAATTACTGAGTAACCAGTCCACTGTATTAGTATGTGTCAGACTTATTCATTTGTCTAATGTTTTATATTTGAATGCTTCTTTTCAAACTAAATAATAGTCTTTTATGTAACAGTCACATCTGTCTTTTTTTGCTTACAGCTGTTTATTGGAACCCTGCTGTTCACCATTCTCCTCTTCCTCTTGCCAACTACAGCCCTCTACTACCTTGTGTTTACACTGGTAATGAGCTTTGGATGCACTTCAGTGAACACGAATGAGATGCACACATTTGTGTGTAATCTGTGATAAATCACCTTTGTGCGTTTACATAGTGGACGTTGTAAGCTGCTGTAGTTTATGGTTCACCACATTTCTGTGGCTTAGATCGTGGTTAGAAATTAAATTACAATGCCCTTCTTAGGCCGCATGTTACTTGAATCGCATCGAAATATAAATATGTATATTCTGTGTTACAATTGTTTCGTATGGAACCTACAGCCAATCTCTAATTCCTTTTTTTTGTTATTCAATACTTCAACAGTTAAGATTGGTGGTGGTTGTCATTCAGGGTCTCATTCACCTGTTCGTGGACTTCATTAACTCTCTCCCATTGTACGCATTAGGACTTAGACTGTGTCGACCTTATAGACTTGCAGGTAATGCTCTTAAAGCTGAATTAATTTGGCTTTGTTCTCTTGGTAGAAAGTTAATGATAGAGAAATGCACACGTATTCAACATACTGATGAAATGTTTATGGGCTTTTGAGTGGCAATTTGAAGTATTTAGAGATCCTTTTCAGGGTAGCGCTCTCTCGGGGGGATCAGTGATGTGTGTGGGTAGAGAAAGTAACAACGTGACTTGAATCAGGATTAATCTAAACCAGGATATATAAATTAGAATATTTAATTAATCTACAGAGGGAAATAAAAATAGCATTAAGAGAGTGAGATAGAGAGGCAGGAAGAAAATAAAAGAATTGGCTTTTAAAATGTTTTGTTTTAGTAATGTCACAGCATTGAAGATGGACTTAATTCTGAAGTTACCACTATTACAATTTTCTGGCCTGCTTGTTAGGTCATTAGCTCATAACTACAAGCACCAACACCTACAAGTTTCCCTTCAAGCCTCAGATCATCCTCACTTGGAATCATATCGCCATTCCTTCACTGTCCTTGGATCAAAATCCTGTAACTCCCTCCCTAATTGTGGGTGTGCCACACAACATAGACTGCAGCAACAAGGCGGCTGTTTGAGTTCAATTATGGATGAGGCAGCAAAGACACCTTCACACTGTAACTGAATAAAATAAAGTAGTACAGCAGATTCATGCCTTTAGGTGATTTCAGTGCTGAGGTGCTGCTGTGTCTAACTTGTGGAGTATCAAGGCATGTAGCATCTTCTATATTTAATCGCACGTACTGCAGAAGTTGCTGTCCAATTTACTCCTCAACAATAGTGAGGATTGTTAGCCTTGCCATAATTAATGAAAATTGTGGGCTATTAGTTCATTTTGGTTTTGTACTTTAGATGTTTCTCTGAAGAATCAGATATCTCAAATGAATCATAGAAACCCTGTTGTGTGGAAGCAGGCCATTTGGTCCATCAAGTCCACACCAACCCTCTGAAGAACATTGCACAGACCTGTCCCCCACCCTATCTCTGTGTAACCCTGCATTTCCCATGGCTAACCCACCTAACCTGCACATCTTTGGACTGTGGGAGGAAACCAGAGCACACAGACATGGGGAGAACGTGCAAACCCTACACAGGCAGTCACCCAAGGGTGGAATTGAACTCGGATCCCTAGCCTCACCGATCCCTAGCACTGTGAGGCAGCACTGCTAACCACTGAGCCATCGTGCTGCCCAAATACCTTTGAATATAAGTTCAGTGGTATCTCTTTGTAGGCACAATTTTACACATCTGTACCAATTTTCTGATCTTTCTGTAGAGGTGAAATTCTGTTTACAAACTTCTATGCATGATGGTGTGATTAATGTTTAACACTCCTAGATATTGTTTCTTTGAAATCTAATGTTATTACTGGTGATCATTTGAATCTACATTCGCAAACATTCAACCAAGCCATTGGACCTGTTGTAAAATACTAAAGATTGATATTTGATAATAATCTAATGGATTCTTCTTTCAGAGAAGTTTGTTGTGATTGTTATAATTTGACTAACAAATTACACAGCAGTTAAATTTTGTATAAAATCATTGCCGCATCAAAATATTTTCTGCATTCTTTATTGTTTGGAATTGAAAATTTATAATGTATATTTTTGTCCTTTATCTACAGCTGGTGTTAAGTTTAAAGTTTTTCAGATGGTTGCTGACAAACCTCTTCACTTATTAATGCAGGTACAGTTATATCAGTACTTTCATTGTGACCGAACTTTATCTTCAATGACCAACTTAGTTGCTCCACAGAAAATCGAATTGCTGTAACCGTTTTAGGATTGCAGTGGTTCCATGTTTTGTTTCTTTACAAAAGGAAAAATGTAGGGCAGAGTTTTCCGATGGTTTGAGCCATGTAGACAATCATGTGAAATGTGGGGAAATAAAACAAGAATGAAACTATTCAACACTCAACGTCAAGAACAAAACAACTTCCAACTTTCCTCTTACTGTTTCAATGGTGAGATCAGAATGCTGCTGATAAGTGGTGACTACCTTATTTCCATGTATTTGCATGTTATTAATATCCCAGCTTGCTTCTTTATATGGAGATAGCAAGAACTGCAGATGTTGAAGAAGGGTCCTGACCCAAAACATCAACTTTCTTGCTCCTCTGATGCTGCCTGGCCTGCTGCGTTCCTCCAGCTCCACACTGCGTTATATCTCGCTTCTTTATATGCAGCTTGTAATTCTCCCTTGCTCTCTTGAGAAACTGAAGGGCGACAGTTCCTGAAGTAGGCATCCGAGCAGTTACCTAGTGGATGCAGCTTGCCACTTCTTCCTTTGAGTCTCCAATATAGTGTCCCTTCACCAACATATCCTTGAATGCTCCATGGACAGTGTCCTCCTCCTCCATCCATTCATTCACCAAACGTTGGTGTCAGCAAACCACCAACCTCACCACATTTTCTGGCCCCCCTCTGACCAACTCAGGATCCACTTCAGTCCTTAAAGACTTCACATTGGAGCTCAGACACTTCTGGCTTCAATGCTTCTGGCAGGTCAATTTGCACGCAGGCTCACGGTCATTTCATGCATTTACACCTGATGCACATTATGGTTCTTGGCTTCATTTCTTTGACCTGACTTGGACACTGCCAGCCTGTCTGTGGATGGGATAGCATTTTAGCCAGAAAGCAGGAAGAATTATATTTGTGAAGGATAAGGTAGGTAAGAGCTTCTGAATGGCGACACTGCATCCAATACTGAAGTTGATATTCGATGAACCTAGGGTGAGGTTTGTATGCAACGGCAGTGTTACTATGAATGTGAGGTTGCAGACAGAGTATGGTGACCTTTACTCTTACAGAGCCTTTTTCCTGTGCTGTCTTATAGTCCTACCCTGGAGTCAGCACTAACCCAAGCAACTGCCTGTGTTTGGTTCCTTGGTCTCCTCTGATAGTCCACCAGATAGAGCATGACCCTCCTCTCTCAAACCCTGGATGAACTTCAGGTTCCTATTGAATAGAAGGCTGCCACCTTCAATTTCCGTTAAGAAATTTCAGTTTCTTAAGAGGACCGTGTGTGAGGTAGTTTCCTGAAATGGTGCAGCTAGCCTGTACACCAGAATGTGCTAGTAATGACACAAGTTTTTCACCTCTTACTTCATCATTGCATGAGGATGCCAATGGACTAGTTACATAATTAATGAACTGAGGAGCAGAAGATAGGGTAGAAAAGTCGTTGTCAGCTTTAACAGAACACCCACATGACACTCCCGTAGCCTACAAAGGGGAAAACACAACCTGTAGTTTCATGGATTTTATATACACAGGAATAATCTGTTTTGTACATTATTCCAATTTGATTTCAGCAGGATCACTACTTCAACCTCCTCCTCTAACTTATTCTCATGATTGTTGAAATATTTTGTCACTCGATTTGACCATTTAACAGGTTGCACCTGAGTCTCAGTCTTCACGGGTATCCACTCGAAGAAAGCTTTATACCAACACTAAATCCTACCTCTGCATCACTTGTAGCCCCAGGCAATTTGCTTTAATTTCCTGTTCTTCAGTGCATTTATTGCTGCCTTTATCCTCACCACCTTGTACCTCTGTGGCTTATGCTTCCCGTCCTCTGCAATTTATTTCCACTACTATTCCCTGCCATTCTCCTAATTCTGGCTTTTTTTCTTTTACTCTCTATCCCTCTGTACGTTCAGGTGCAGAGGCTTCAGTTGTAGTGTTTAGCCCTAAGTTATCTAGCTTCTTACCTCTCCTCTGTTTTCATTCTTCAATTTTTTTTACCCAAGGTAAACCCTTCACATGTCCGCTGCAGTCATCAATCCAACCCTTCCCTGGAAAATGAGTGGTTAATTTTACCTTCGTGAATTACTTTTAAAAATATCAATATTGTTTTTCCGTAGCTTTTTTGTTATGCATCTTATGAAAGTTTCCAAGATATGTCGACTATTGTAGGTTAAGGTAACCTTCAGTTTTATTATCTAGGAATTTGGTCATGATGTTTAAAACAGCAACTCATTAGTCATAAGTAAACCACATTGAATCATGCTGGGACAATGGAAATTAGAGTTTCTTTGGACATTATTCACCCACATTAGGCAGTGTCATTATGTCTAAGTGGAAATGAAATTAATAGGTTGAGTTTCTCATTTTATCTCTGAATATTTGTGTTTTGCATTCTCCAAAGTTTTAAACTGGAGGGAGAAATATTAAATGTCAGAAAAATAGACTTTACAAAATAACAAAATGGAAAAAGCTGTTTTTGTTCAGTAACCAGTGCTGTTCTAATGACAGATTAATCCCCTGACCTATGGGATGATAATCAGATATTACAGACTGCCAACCTACAGCTGTTATCCAAAGGACTCGTGGACAACTCTGTGTCAGAAACTGTTCCTTGGGGAACTGATTTATCCCTGGAAACGCAAAACAGAAAAGCAAGACTAGAAAATACAGCCAGAAACCAGCAGTCTTAATGAGTACGTCCATGACTAATTTCCTGCATTATGTCTGCATTGCCATTTATTTCAAAGAGGAGAGGTTTTTCTTCTGTAAATTTTTTAAAACAAAAGTTATAAATTTGAAATTGTTGATTGTTGCTAGTGCCAAAATTATGCTGCAAAATTATCAGTAGATTGATATAATAGAGTTCTTTTTAAATATAACAATTGAGAAAGCTTAAAATGTCATTTGGGATTTGAAGAAACCATATCTCAAATTACAATTTCACACTTTATCTCTTTTATTACAGCAAAAGCACTTTCCCCCATTTCATTGGGTGCAATTTTCAAGTTCTGTAAGAATGCACTTCAATTTGCTGTAAACTTGAAACATTATTGCACTGTTTTTAGACAAATCACTTTCTATGCATTCTGTTTGTGTTTTGTGACATCTTCTCTGTATATTAATTCTTTAGTATTTCCTAATAACATGCTCATTTTCAGTGTACAGCTGTACCTGCATCAGTTTCATATCTAGCTAAATTGATGCACTCAGATCTAAATTAAAGGATATTATTTTTGTGTCAATTGCAGAGAAACTTAAAAGGGAAACTCCACACATTTTTCTGATTTCTGCCAAATGTTCAGAACTCTCTATTGACCTGTGGTGGAATCGTCCAGCTAAATATTTGACATTTTGTATATTGCCATTGCTTACAGTATTGTCTTTCAGGGATTCACATAATATTGACCTTAGTAATTTTTTAAACTACAACATGCAATACTTTTAAACCATGTTTCTATAATTTACAAAATACCGTATTTTAGGTACATTACCAAATCATTCCTTCTGTTCATTGCGTTGCCTAAAATCAAATGGGTACCCATTTTTCTCAAAGCATTCAGAATCATAGAGATCTACTGCATAGAAATAGGCCTTTCGTTCCAGCTCATCCATGCCGACCCGATATCCTAAATTAATCTAGTCCCATTTGCCAGCATTTGGCCCTTATCCCTCTAAGCCCTTCCTATTCATGTACCCATCCAAATCCCTTTTAAATGTTGTAATTGTACAAGCCTCCACCACTTCCTCTGGCAGCTCATTCCATACACGCACCTGCCTCTGCATGAAAAAGTTGCCCCTTAGGTTCCTTTTAAATCTTTCCCCTCTCACCTCAGACCTATGCCTCTAGTTTTGGACTCCTGCAAATTCTGTTCATTGGCAAGTTTCTGAAGGGTTCTGAACAGGGTTAGATGTACTTTTAGATAATCTAACGAATCATAATGCAAAACATCACATTGCCCTCATTTCCCTGCAAGCATTTACTGTAATAGCAGTATTACAACATTTGACTGTGTCTTGGTACAGAATACCTATGAGACCTTTCCAGTAAATCTCTCACATTTAATGTAACTTCGTCCCTCCCTTTACAAAAGAGATTGCCACTCAAAGTTACTGAATTTCAAAATTCTGAATGGCTGAAAATTTCCTCAGAGGTTTTTAGCATGTTAGAATCATATTCTCTGAAATTATATTTCTGATGTTTATTAGCAGCATTGTTTTCTTATCACTAAGATCAGCAATGTTTTTACTGTCTGTGAATGCATATTCAAGATATCAGAATAAGTTGCATCACAAATTGTAAAACTTGTGCGTTTGCTTTTTTTTTTGCATTCTGTCCCAAATATGGATTGATGGTGGTACTGTAGTTGCACACTTCGTAATTTTTATGCATAAATCGGAATTTGAAGAGGACACAATGGTATAAGATTGGCATTTTCCACAGGCCCCAATTTCTCTGATGATATTGTGCTAGTTTTTATGTTCTGAGATTCTCAGGATGTTTTAGCATAACTGTCCAGATCAGCATGACTTCCAGGCTATATCTATGATGGAAAAATTCCTCTTCCTTCTTCTTGCAGCATTGTTACTTTAAGAATTATGCTCCTCAGGTTTTTGCACAGGACCAAATGTATTTAAAAATATTAATTTAGTGAATAAAATCTGATCTAATGTTGTTTGTACCTTTGTTTTTCTTCAGAAATATTTGCATTCACAATTTTATTAATTTCAGGTGAAATCCATTAAGCTGAATTGCTTTGGCATGTCAAAACTAACTCATCACTTAAATGCCAAAGCAATAGCAAAGTATCATTATGGCAGTGCCAAGATTACAATTTTAAAGAACTTTAGTCAATTGCTCTGGGTTAATGCAAGTCTGCTGCTGAACCAACTTTGTGTTATATATTCATAAGAACTTCAGCCCACCCTTTACGTTGTAAACTTGTTACTAGATGAACTTTTCCCCATAAAGCATTTTTTTTTTCATTTTATGGCATTAAAATATTTTTTATTTTAAATTTGTGTACATTTTAACTAATTCATAACTACCAATACATTTTTCAGTCTAGCCATAAGACTACCTTAATATTGATCTGTGGTACCTCTTTTCATTGAAGTATTTTTGACATGCAAATTGGTTTGAATATTAAAATCAATTTAAATAAATCACCAAATTCTGTCCACTCTTTCTTCACTGCTTTCACACCACCCCCTTTTTTTTCTCACCACCATTTTTATTATTTTACATTTTCACTATTTATATCTAATCTCCCTGTATTATTATATGTTGATATTTAATGCTAGTTGCTAAATATTTAATGACTCTTAAATCATAACCAGCATTATAGAGGAAGAAATGCAAGGTGCAGAGGTGCCCTTAACTTACCTGAATCTTGTCAGTCACCATTAGCACTACTCTGATGGTGCTGTTGCATTACAAGACTTTCTTGTCCTACCCAAGATAAATGATCCAATGAAACATTCAGCACCTGTATGCCAGATTTCATTGTGCAGTGCTGTGTTTACAGGTACAAGTAACCTGCTCCCGACATACCTTGAAAGAGCAAGCTGTTTTACCCAACAACTGATTTAGAAGCCCTGGTTTTTGTGGGCTTGTATCACAATTTCAGCTGAAGGGAGAAAAGAATGGACCTGTACGCCTCAGTCTATAGCAGATCTGTTCAGCAAAATATTGTGGGAGCTGGAAATGTGAAATAAAAACGAAGTTCTGAATACTCACATCTGGCAGCATCAATGGAGCCAGAAACAATAGGAATATGCATCCTTCAAGACTGAAAGAGAATCCTATTCACCCTGGAACATGGGATGGGATTTTTTGAGGAGTGGCAGTCTCATGCGTGTTGCCACTCTGGGCCTTGTTTACAAATGAAGGGAGCACCATATTTCTGAGAGATTCCACACAGCTCTCTCAGAAATGAGGAGCTGTACTTCCTTTCTGGCAGTTCCCTAGTGGTGCAGTACTGCTGGAGGAAGTCAAACCACGTCTGTTTCTTTTTACAGCGTCACCTGCTGTAATCTGAAAATTAAAAGGTCCGACAGCCACTTTTGACAGCTGCAGTCAATTGTAAATACATCAGGTAAGTGTGATGTTAGGCTGCTTGGGGGGGGTAAGGTGCCAGATGGGTAGGGTGCTGTGTAAATAGGATTATCAACTGAGGAGGGGGTAGGATGCCAGCTTGGTCAGTTGTGTAGGGGGTAAATGGGGAAGCAATGGTCTTGGGTATTCTTGCTAGACTGTTAATCCAGAGTCCCAAATAATGTTCAGGGTTTGAATCCTGCCATGGCAAGTGGTGAAATTTAAGTTCAATTTTTGTTTTAAATCTAGAATTAGGAGTCTAACAATGAACATGAAACCATTGCCAACTGACAGAAAAATCTCATCTGGTTCTCCGGATGTCCTTTAGGGATGGAAACTGCCATCCTTACTTGGTCTGGCCTACAAGTGACTCCAGACGCACCGCAGTGTGGTTGACTTTTAACTGCCCTCTGGGAAAATAGAGGTGAACAATAACATCCACATCCGACAAATGAATACAAAAAATGCCAAGTGGATAGGGTGCAAGGTGGCATGGTAAGTGATATAGTGTGCTGTGTTCAGGGTAAGGCCGAGTGGATGGGAGAAATCGGGCCCAGTGCAGGAGGAAGGAATTGGGGCTGGGCTGTCGAGGATTGGAGAGGTTGGTGTTTGGTTTTATCTGGTGACAGTGTGGTCAAGCCAGTGGACAGGGGTCCCCAGGGGTGTCAGAGGACTGGAAGCATGGGGACCTGGTCAGGTAGAGGGGTGCTGTGGAAGGGGAAGGTCCAAGGCAGTTTCGGGTCCCCAAGGTGAGCAATGTCAGGTCAGCGTCTGGAGTGTAAGTGATCTGGGAGAAGTGTAGTTGGGGGAATAATAAAAGTAGGAGTCTATTAGATCATCAGTCAGAGAGGTCTACAGCACAGAAAAAGGTCCTTCAGCCCATTGAGCCTACACTAGACAAAAAAGCACCAAAGTATTCCAAATCCTTTCCCAATACTTGGTCCATAGCCTTGTTTGCCTTGGCATCACAAGAGCACGTCTAAAAACTTGCTAAATGTGATGAGGGTTTCTGCCTCTATCACCCTTACAGGCTGTACATTCTAGATTCCAACAACTCTCTGGGTGAAAAAGCTTTTTCTCGCATCTTCTCTAAACCTCCTGCCCTTTACCTTAAATTTAGCCCCCTTGTTATTGATCAATCCATCAAGGGGAAATGTTCCTTCCTGTTTATCCTTACTCAGGAGTCAGATATAACCTTTCATGAGTAACTATTTTACCTCATTTAATTGGAAACATCCCAAATTTCTGATTTAAAACTCAGTTTCCCAGGTAATTTGGGGATTCCTGTCCATGAACTCTTATTTCTGTCTCTACAGATGATACTTCCAGTACTTTGTTTTTCTGTGACCTTTGCTGGCTAGTCAACACATTGCTGTGGGGCTGGAGTCACATGTAAGCGAGACAAGTTGAGGAGGATACATTTCCTTCTGGGTTTTTGCAATGGTCAACATGCTCTTTGTTTTTGCCTTTTTATTCCTGTTTTTTTTTAATATTGAATTCAAATTTCACCAACCTTAGGAAGACCACTCGGGAGCAGAGTTAGAAGGTACTTTCGAAACACACAGTGTGGTAGCTGTTTGGAACATTTCTCTGAAAGGAGCAACTGATGCTAAATCAACTGTTATTCTTAAAACAGATTGATAGATTTTTCTTAACCTGAAGTATCAAAGGATTAAGGTCATAGAGTCGTAGAGATATACAGCACAGCTACAGACCCTTTGGTGCAACTCGTCCACGCCAATCAGATATACTAAATTAATTTAGTCCCATTTACCAGCATTTTGCCCATATTCCTCTAAACTCTTCCAATGGATTCTGGGTAATCCAAGATGGAGGACAGGAAAAAATTGTGGCTATAAGAGCTGCCCCTTTTCTTTGAGGTATTTTCAATGTTGCAGCTGATTTCCTTGAATTCGAAGAGCAGTAATTACTGTTTTAAAAGCTGTTGCATTATTTTTGAACTTTGGGAGGAAAATAGATCAAAACAACAGCGCTTTAAAAAGGAGGAAGACAAAAGTAGTGACTGCATAGGAAGTAAATCGAACGGAGAAATAAACCTGCACTGCTGTGTGACCCAGCATGATTCTGCACAGCTGACTGTTCTGATGTTTGATTTCAAGTATCTTTGGACATCGGACCTTGTTCTAAAAAAATTAACAAAATTAACAAACGGCAAAATCAGCTGACCTTGGAGAAACCTGTGCCAGAGAGCTCACAACAGGGGAGCAACTAAGTGGCTTTTTTAAAGTGTAACCATTCTGAGTTTTTTTGTAAATGTACAATAGTGAGCAGAGTGGATTCTTTTTTGATTGTATGTTTTATTAAGGTCTCTCCCTTGATTAATTTTTTTAAAATATAAAACATAGGTACCAAGTTAGCCTGGAGCAGAATTTTTTAGAGCATGAAGACTGTGCTGTTTTCTGGGTCTGTAGATTGTTAAGGTTCAAAGATGACCTGTAGTAGAGTGATGTGCTCTTCCTTTCAGATGTGGAAGATTATATTGAATTTCCATGTTACTGATGATTATGTCTGCAGGAAGTGTGTTTGGTTGCAAATCCTATTGGATCACATGGATCGGTTGGAGCAGCAGTTAAAGGCAATGAGGAATTTACAGGAGCTGGGGGCGTGATGGATGGCAGTTACAGGGAGAGAGATAAACTGAAAATCCAGTCATGTAGGCTTACCTCCAGGAAAGAAAGGAGATGTAGGCAGGTAGTGCAGGAGTCTCCTGTGGCTGTCCCTATCTCAAACAAGTCTGCTGTTTTGGAAAATGTAGGGGGTGATGGACTGTCAGGGGAATGTAAACAGCCAGGTTTCTGGTACCGAGACCAGCTCTATTATAACGAGGGGTACTCAGGTTCCAGGTGATCAATTGTAATAGGAGACTTTCTAGTCAGACAGACATTTCTGTGACCAACAACGAGACAGGATCAAGGATATCTCAGAAAGGGTGCAGAATATTCTCAAAGGGGAGATGGACCAGCAGGAGGTAATTGTACACATTGGAACTAATGACCTAGGAAGAGGAAAGGATGAGATTCTGGGGAGAGAATATAGGAAATTAAGCAGGAATTTAAAAAGGAGGTCCTCGAGGGTAGTAATATCTGGATTACTCTCACTGCCATGATCTAGTGAGGATAGGAATAGGAGGATAGAGCAGATGAATGCATGGCTGAGGAGCTGGGGCAGGGGAGAAGGATTAACATTTTTGGATCATTAGGATCTCTTCTAGGATAAAGTGACCTGTAAAAGAAGGATAGATTGCACCTGAATTGGAAGGGGACTAATATACTGGCTGGGAGATTTGCTACAGCTGCTGGGGAGGATTTAAACAGGTGGGAGGGGATTTGGGACCTAGGGAGACAGTGAGGAAAGAGATCAGTCTGAGACTAGTACTGTTTCACACACAGGATGGTGTGTGTATGAAATGAGCTGCCAGAGGAAGTAGAGAGGCTGGTATAATTACAACATTTATTGGCATCTGGATAGGTATTTGAATAGGAAAGGTTAAGAGGAATAGGGGCCAAATGCCGGCAAATGAGACCAGATTTATTTAGGATATCTAGTTGGCATGGAAAA